CTCTAGCACTTAGATCATTTGAGATGAGTACTTCAAGATCCTTGACAGAGTTTGGATCATCAACAAGGTCTTGACTATTCAGCCTGTATTTTATTTTCTGATTTTTTCTGCCAATATGTAAGAGAGAGCATTTATTTGTTGAGATTTGAAGTTGCCATTTGTTTGACCATTCTGATACATAGTCAAGGTCTTTTTGAAGGGTAGCAGTATTGTCTGTGGTGTTGAATAGCTTTACATTATCAACGAAGAGAACGCAGTTGCTCTTAATATGATCACAGAGGTCATTTATATAGAGTATGAAAAGAGTTGGTCCTAGAACACTTATTATCTGTGATAGGATAATTGGGGGACACCACTGTTGACAGGTACAGAACTTGATAGGATGCTCCCAGTTTTAACCACTGTTGGGGACACTGTTGGGGATGCTCCCAATTGTTGATAGGACGCTCCCACTGTTGATAGGATGCTCCCAATTTTGACCAATGTTGGGGACACTGTTGGGGGACACCACTATTGACAGGTACAGAATTTGATAGGGCACTCCCAATTTTGACCATTTGTTGTCTGTTTGACAGGAATGCTTCTATCCAGTTATGCAAGTCATGCAGAGATGCCTTGTTTTATTTTTTGAAGGAGGATTGTAGTGACAAAATAGGATTGTTGCTACTGCACTGTCCCCTATTGCATAGCAGCTTCTATACCAAACTGCCAGACCCTGTTGAGATACAGTTTCTGGGTCAATTGTTCTGGATACTTTGACCATATTTCCTAGAGCAGGGATCAGAGGCATCTTGTGAATTCATTTAATCCTTGACATGAATTGTGAGGCAGACTCATATAGGAAGCCACACATTAGACCTAATTTTTACCCTAGATCAAGTGGAATGAGGTTTGAAGTTAGAAGATACTGTCATGGTTCTTGGCCATGGTAAGAACATTCTCTGATTGCCATGGAGCTGATTGGTGCTACCTACACCTGTGGGAAGGAGAGACCTATTTGATTATTGTTCCTGATGACTAATGGCTCACTAACTCATTGTAGGATCCAAAGGATGCTTTGGATTTTTTCCCCCCAAGGTTTTGGAGGTCAGTCCTGCTAAATCTTTAGTCACATCATAAAATACTTAGGTGGTAAAACTGCAGGTGACGTCCACTTGTTCTATAAGTTAGAAGAGTACCGTGGAGAAACCAGATTGTAGAATAAATTGGCAGGGGTTCGCATCTGAGGCACAAATAGCCAGCCTCAAATGATCATATTTTGGACTCCTTATGCAAAGACCTTGTTCCTGGGAAATGCCAGGAAAAATGGAAAGAAGAGGATGATCAACAGGAGCAAAATGTACTCAGTTATAGCATCAATAGATGCATCTCTGGAAGATCTGAAGGATCAAACGGTGGATGGATTGCCCTGACAAAAAACTATACATGTTATGTGTTTGCTAGAAATTGACACTGACCTGATGGACATTGTCATAATTAAAATAAGTGCAATTAATTTTATACAAAATCAGCTTGGACTTATTCATGAAGAATGTGAATCCATCATTTTCAAATGTATGGATGAAATACTATGAACAGTCCATTTGAAATGCAAACTCTTCAAACTGTAAAGACTGGGCTCTGTACAACATACTATCACAGAAATATATTCTAAGGGTCGTTTAGGTCCTCAGATCCAATCTCATGCTCCATGCAAAAATCCACAGTAAAAATAAACAGCAAATGTACCACCTGTGTTTACTGCATGTTGTCAAATTGGTACCATTAGAGTCCCAGAGTTCGAAGAACAGTTAGGTGAACATTAGTATATATACCTGATCAAGTATATCTCACTTGTACAGATAATCCATCTCATGCCTAACCAGCTCAGATGGATTTAAGAACCAACATAGACAAAGTAATTGCCTAAAAAAGAAAACATAGCTACAGAATTTAGTAGAAGCAAAAAAAACCTTTTATTTCAAGAAACAGAATTAACAACTGGAAGGACAGAAGGGGAGAAGAGGCTGATGCTTGAGCAGGATATAACTCCCAATATGCCCTACTAACAATGGCACATTTCTTCTTACATTCCATCTATTCACCCATTCAAACTTTGTTACACAAGTAAGATGGCCATAATAAAAATGCATTGAAATCTGCTCACTCATTAAATAGATGCTAAAGAGATGCAAGCAAATGTTTGTGGCTAGGTTTGTTACTATTCCCAGGTTATACCAGATTCATATGCCAGTATACAGTATACACATAAACATACTTCCAACCAGTAAAATACATTTGACCACAAACTAGGTTTAATTTGAGGCACTTAGATTTGCCTATAGCTTCAACAGAAGGTTTTCTTTAAATAAATTTAGCACAAGAGTTCATGAGGAGATTTTTAAAATATAGTTCTTTCTTTCCCTTCTTTCTCTCCAGTGAACCTCTGAAAATGTTTCCCCATGAGGTACCACTGTAATTTTTTAAAAAGTCCTGTTGCAGACAGGGAGAAGGGGGCAGAGGAGAAAGGGAGGAAAGAAGGAAAGAAGGAAAGAATAAATTATTTCCCTTCCACTACCACACTTCTGAAATATATCTCCCCAGGGCAATTACACATTATGAAAAATATCAATTGTTATTAAAAATTTATTATAATACAGGAAAGAAAAAAGATTGGATATGTAAAATAGCTACTTCTTAAAAATTGTCACACTTAATCTGGACGCTTGGAGAAAAACAGTCCCAGTTTAGAAGCTTGACTGTTCAACAAGGAACCTTTTAAATAAGGTCACACCTGCAGCATTAGTGACTTACTTCAGCATTCAACATTTTGTAGTTCTTGTTTGTGGTGGCATTGAATAATCAGTTCCTCCAATGCTACCATAATTATCAATTTATTCTGACAATAAAGATGTTTGCGCTGATTTCAGAATGCAGACTAGATTTTCAATAAATGCTTTCCTCATTTTTAAATAGGGTGGTAGTGATAGACACTAATGTTTTAAGAGGGACTGGATTCAAATTCTACCTACACGCATATTTGTGTGTTTGTATTGATATGATCTGAAGAGAAACCAGGGTATTGATAAATGCACCACGTTCACACCCACACACATGTAGAACAGCAGAGAAATTTAAAAGCCATTTGTGAAAAATTATGTACAGTACATTTCTTCATTGTCAACGTTATCTCAACACCAAATATATATAGTTCCTGACTAAAAGAGATTCGTGAAAGTTACATGCCCTTAACCTTTTAATTATTTTGGATAAGAACTCCCATAATTTCTAGGACCAATGGTCTAGATCCAGAGTTTATATACACACTTGCCTACTTGCATAATACAGAATGGTGGCAATAACAAGTGGCAGCCCATTCTGCATTGGGATACAGCACAGCAGGGCTGGCAGTATACAGTAGCCTGAGTGGTCTATGAATTTCAGGTCAGTTCTGCATGTGAATATCATTCAATGTCCACAAGCATCTAGAAAATATTGCCAGTTGTTTGGGCATAATTCAACAATATTTTCTGCCAAGACTTAAAATTCTTGACAAATGTTAAGGGGACATCTGAAGTACAAGTATTTTTGCAAAGGGAAACATCAAAAAAGCAACATTAACACATTTCAAAAAGAACACTTTCTGTTTTAGTTCTAGATCCTTACTTTTTAATCATCTGGTAAAATCTAATCCTAATGTTTGAATTTGCACAATCATTGGAATCTCAACTTCTGAAGTATTTTTTCCTCCTTAAAATTTTTTTTTTTGAGGTAGATATATATATATATCTTAAATTAGTATGTTCCTTAAATTCCACATATTATAATGTGGGATTATTATCTGTGGTAGGATAATTTACACACTGAAGAGAAATAATATTAATGAGATGATAAAAAGTTCTGGAAAGTCCAGGGGAAGTCATAGGAGTTTATGGTGGCTTTGAATCCCTGAAACAGCATCCATTATTTTGTATTTGGAGTGAACTGCTTATGAGCTTATTATGGATTTAAGCATTGGGAGGGGGGGAGTCAGCCAGAAGCACTGTTTTTGAACTCAGTTGGGTCACAGGAACTTTCTCTGCACTCCATTCTAATTTGCAGTTTTGCTATAATAAAAGCCCCAGATATATTGCTACTGTCTAGACATTTTATCTGAAACAAGTGTCCTTCCTAATCCCAGAGGACTTTTCTATTTTATTTCCAGTAAATCAAAGTCTGTGAAGAGCTTTGGTTCTTACTGAGACATACCCTTCACAGTCCAGTGATTGCCAACAGTGGCAAACCATTGACAGTTCATTTACATATAAGCGATGACTTTCATTGAGTAGCTGGCCAAAAAAAAAAAGAAAAAACACCAGTGGACGTTCAGAGAGCATAGCCAATATTTCTTGCTCTTTGATGAGGATTGAGTGCCAATTTATTTATGGAAAGGTAAGATTTCTTTTTATCATCCTTACTGGGTTTCTTCTTTTTTTTTTTTTTGCTTTTGTTTCCAAATGTAGGCAGCAGTCTTACAAAATGTCTCCATCTCAGAATTCTTTAGAGTCATTATGCCTCAGGAAGATGATAGTAGTAGTCCTACAACTCTGATGGGCCCAGTTACAGCTCAGTGGGAATTTTTTTGAAACTATTTTTTTTAAACTAAAAAAATTAAAGAACACTAAGACTTTTGAGATCAAAAAGCAGCAATGTTAAAAAAATTATGAGTATAGAATCATATACTATATCACTATATAGCAAAAAAATATAGTCGCCTGCATTATGATTCATATGAATAAAATGAAATTATTTTACAAAGCAAGTTTTTAAACTTATTTATATTGTTCCTATGCATATAGAAATTTTAATTGTATTGCCTAGAGACTAAGGAGATGTATTTCTATTACCTCCTTTAAGAATGAAATATTTTTCATTACAACATTGGGAATTTCCATTAGAGGAAACTGAGATTTTACTTCATTATCTATTAACTCAATCAAATGTTGCTGTAAGGTTCGCTTGTCTGTGATTTGCTTCCTGACTTAGTCACTGTCTTCTAAAACATTTGTTCCCTCTTCTTCCACTTGCTCCTTCTTCTTTCTATCTCGTATTGATGCAGCAACTAGAGCACCAGCAACTCGAATATCAGCTGATTTTAGCACTGGGTGGCCTCTTGCTGTAACATAAAATAAATAGATATATTGATTAGCTAAAGGGAACACAAATTAGGATGATTCTAAGTTGAAACTTTAATGGACAAAGATAACCAAAGTGGTAGATATGAACTACTACACATTTCACTGATACAAAGTTAATATTCTATATTGCAAAATATTAATACTGTACATTGTAAAATAAGCATGATTAAGAAATCAGATACATTGATATTAGCCTGAGATACGTTGTTATTATGGGTTGTTATTATGCTTTCAAATGTACTTGTCTATGTGATTTGTGGAAATTCCTAAACAAGTTTGATTTTTTATAAGTGAGCTGTTTCCTAGAGGTTTCATATAACATAGAGAGAGAGAAAGAGAGAGGAGAAGAGAGAAGGAAGGAAGGAAGGAAGGAAGGAAGGAAGGAAGGAAGTTTAGAAAGAAAGAAAGAAAGAAAGAAAGAAAGAAAGAAAGAGAAAGAAAGAAAGAAAGAAAGAAAGAAAGAAAGAAAGAAAGAAAGAAAGAAAGAAAGAAAGAAAGCAAACATTTTTTTTCTTGGCTAATCTATGACATGCTTTTTAAACTAGCATACTAATTTGACTTGGAAGACTTTTTAGAATATTGCACAAATCTTTTTTTTTTAATTAGTAAAGCAAACATTTCAGCAACAGTAGAAAAGTAACTGTGAACTATGATAATAATATTTCAAGTAATAAGAGCTTCACAGTTAAAAAGTGGAAGTTAACATAAGCAATGTTAAGCAAGTAAGTGGTGGAACCTCTCTTCCTGTAGAGGGCAGGAAAGATTCCCCTGAATTAGAGAATTAATACAGCCTAAGTACGGTGTGATAGGAAGTTCTCTTCAAATTAACTTTTTAGTAAAACAGACAAGGGAGAATTAGAATTAGAAATTCACCTCTCCTTTAATTAAAGGACTTGGAAATGTATTAACCAACTCAGAGACTGAAACAACCAGGGGTGGGCTGCTGGGGGTTCCCAGGGGTTTGGGAAAGTCCCTAGCTAAGATTCTGTGCAGTTGGGAGAATCCCCAAATCCCATTCCTGGCTGGCCCTGCCCCGCCCACCCCGCTCCTCCCAGGAGTCCCTAAGCAACCCACTTTGGATGTAGGTAAGTACAGGGAGCGTGTGGATGCTTGGGGATGGCAAAAAAGAAAGGCCTCCCAGAAGTTCAGGAAGGTCAGAAATGGCCCCGTTTCCGGATTCCAGAGAGCCTCCGGAGCCCAGGGAGGCCATTTTTGCCCTCCTGGAGGCTCGAGGAAAGCCTCTGGAGCCCGGAGAGAGCAAAAATGCCCCCCCAGGCGTGGTGCAGGTGGCTGACTAGGCCACTCCCACCATGGCCATGCCCCCCGGCAAACAAGGCAGAGAAACCTTTGTTAAAATCTTTGAAGCCCACCCCTGGAAACAACCCCAAAGTCTTTTAACTGTGGCTAGCCATTACAAAGGAAAAAATTCATCCAAAGAAGCCATCTGGAAAAATTATTATCTTGAGGGGGAAGATATGAATAATTGTACTAACCTAATAATGACTATGAAAGAAATAAGTATGGAATTTGTATGGATCAGGACATTGTTGAGGAAGCTGTGGTCAGGATAATATAACCTGGTCCCAAGTAACTATTAGTTGCTGCTTCAGGAAGGGTTACAGGGGGTCAAAGATTAGCAGGCCTTATCAGTTGGGTAGCAGTTATGTCTCTTTTAAGTCTGAGGTACTTGCAAATGGGCACTTAGCTGCTGGTTGTTTATGAGGATAAAGCAAATAATTTTGCTTTTAAACAGAATTGAAATGTAGTCATGAATAAATGAGAGAAACTGAATAAAAATCAATTTGGCACCAGGATCTTAGATCATGTAGGTAGCCAGCGAATGATTTCAACATCCAGCAAGTTGGGCCAAACATTTATTTTAAAAAGCATTGGAAATTACTTGGATGGAAAATATAAATTCTAGTTACTAATTTATATAGTAATCCAATTTTCTATTTCTGGGACTTTACTGTATCTAGTAATTAGTAGTGATGCGAGGCATGGCAATATAGAATTATGGTAGCTCAGATTCAAAATGTTTAAATATTTTGTAAGGATATGATTAAATTGGTATTATGCATTCTTGTTAACAAAAACTGTTAGATTAAGAAACAGTTAAACTGTAGGTATTTAAATATACATATCCCAGATTTTTGTTCTAATGGGAATAAAATGATTATAGTAACTCCACTATGTGGAAATTTCAAAGTAGATAATATTTGCTATATTTTAGGATTCTAAGTTGAACAAGATGGAAGATCTTTTTTGTTGGCCAAAGCATCAAAACAGAACTGTAGTTGTACAGAACATCCTGACATTTTCAAGATGGAGATTTTAACACCAACTATTCATAATTTTTCAGAGTATTGAAATACATATATGAGACTCAGCAGTGCACTCTTGAAAGTGAGTTAGGAGATTATTGAGTTATAAATAATCAGAAGAATGTGAAATAACAAAATTCATTGAATAGCTTCAATTTGTTCATAATAAATGCCCAGATCCATTGTAAATTTATATGCTGTCAAGAGTTTCTATGGATAGTGAGAGAGGTAGCATATCATCATCTTCTTTTAAAGACCCCATAATCCCTTTGCAGGATGGAGTCTGGACAGCTGAATGGAGCTGAGTGTTTACTGGCTGGATGCCCTTCCTGTCACCAGTGTAGAGTTTTATTCAGCAGATATATTCTCATTGTGCCGAGAGAGAGAAATATCTGCTTCTACCTAGGATTGAATTCACAGCCTCCTGATTGTGAAGTGAGAACTCCACCTCTAGGCCACCACACCACTCAGAAAATAGCATATAAATTTAATAAATACATACATAATAAATAAATAATAGTTTGGGATGATTTCCTCAGCCTAAACCAAAAGTTAACAAAAGAGCGATGAAACTTAATGTAAGGAAACACTGTGAATATGAGAAAAATCAACCGTAATTTGATAGCTGTATTAATACAGTTTATACTATTTATAATTAACCATGAAAAAAATACCCATGTTGGGTTTATTTTTAAATGAAGTGGGGTCTGTTTCTTTGAAAAAAGCATATTTGATGTGAGGTAATGATAATAAACAGCATCATAGTTTTATTAAACAAATTTCTGGTATGTTTATACTTCAAAATATTAGCGCAATTTGAAACCATATCTCAAAATGTTTATTCCAGCACAGTGGAACAAAGAGCTATCTGATCAGGAACATCTCCCTTTAAAATACTTAAAAGGGTGGAGCTTTAATCTGTAAGAGAAAGGGGCCACAAAGGCATGGTAACATATTAAATGTTCTGGTGTTGCTCTGGAAAAAATAAATAATGACAATTAATATTACATTGATTAGTAGCTGTTCAAGACAGATATATTTCTTCATGCAATGTATAATTGACAAGGGATTGATTTTTTAGAGATAATACATAATTTAGAGATAATTAGATAATAACTGCTAGTTAAAGCAACTTTAAAAGATAGATGACAAGAGATTTATAAAGTAAGCAGTTATCACAATGTTCAAAACTGGAATCTCCACGTCGTGGGACAATGCAGCTCAATGTCCTAGTCTGAACTGTCAACTGCAAATATATAATTACATACATTTTCAAGCTAATCTACCAGAGATTTTTTTTAAAATAAATCTCTATAAAATACCATCCCAAACCAAAAGGGGAAAATTGGAATCCGGAATGATAAACGAATAAAGGGAAACAGATGGAAGTCATAACTGCAAGAAGCCACAAACTAAAAATTCTCTTGGCAGTATATGTGAAAGCTAAACAGACTTTTATAAAATTCTGAATTAGCAGGGACACAAAGGAACCACTTTCTATTTTCTTAAAAATAAGACTTGAGATATTTGACAGAGACTAGCATTTCTTTTGTACAAAAATTAAATTTTGTGCTAAAATTATTATCTGATGTAAGGTTACTTTGAATAAATTGTTCCTGAGACTTTGTTAGCAGTGAACAAATGAATAGGCATATTGCTCAATTTTCACTGGGCTTGCAAAGATAATTGTTTTGCTAACTATTTAAGCTTGTTACATGGGGGCTTTAGAAGGCAAGCAAGGACGGATGGGGGCAGGTGAACGAGCTTATACTGACCCATTTTCTACTCGCCCAGTCCCTAGACTTCCAGTCTTGAGAAGTTATAAAGAGATTTTAAGGTATCTTGAATCTTCATCCTGTCATATCCTTTCCCAAAGTTAAACTGCAGCCCAAATCCAGGTCCAAGTGGCTTTGTGCTTTTACAATTTCCTCTCCTGGAAGATTGTTAAATATCTACAATAAATTAGTGTTTCTCAACTTTAGCATGTCAGTTCTCATATTTTTAAGACTGTTTAATCCATTATTTTGGGTACTAAAATGCTGCTCTACTCCAGTAGGAAGGAGAGCAAATTAATGGACTTTCGTACTCTTCATTAATCCCTTCTAGGATTAATCCTGCTAAATATTCGGTATTAGCATCTCCCACATTGCTTGGTATCAACATTCCTCAGTACATATTCAGAAAGGTTGGGAGCCTGATAACCTGCTGTACCAGAAGAAAATACAAAGACTTGCCCTCTGAAACCACTTATTAACAGCCTTTATCTAAACCTATATAAAGCATGTTGCAAAGACAACTGACAATTGCCAAAAAGAGAGCATGCAATTAGTATCTGAAATAATTGTGATTATATTTTGTGCTAATATTAGCACTTTAAAACAGAACAATAATCCCAGACTGCATTATTCTGAAGGCCACTCAGCTGGTGATACAAAGCTATGGATGACAGTTCTTGATTGTTCATTACATTTTGATGCTTTGCACAAGCAGACCCCTTTCACTCGTATATAAATGTAAAGCACTTCGGAATTAGTATTTTATTGTAGCATTGATCAGATCCTTTGCTTATTTTGGGGTGTCTTGTGATTACAGAAGCAAACTATTGTAACAGTTTCAGTAAGTATCTATTAACACAAAGTTTTATCTAAGTCTGG